GTGGGGTGGGGGAGGCAGGGTGGACGGAGATTGGGGATGACTCCTCGACAGGGGTAGGAGAGAAATAGAGGTGGGGGAGGGGTCTGCTCAAAAGGGAAACACCTCCCTTGTAGGGATGGAACGGCTGCAACCTCGGCGATATGGAATACACATACGCAACATACGTACCCGCCTTCATGCTCCTCCGAGCCTCCTCCCATTTATTCCTTCTGATGCGCTGCTGTTGCTGTGCTTCCTCCTTCCTTTTTTTATCTTTTCCATAAAGCCGCATACGAGCCGGAGGAGGGTGTCGCGGCCACTTGCTCGCCCCCTTATTTACTCCAATAACGGCCGGGGGCCCAAGCAGCCCAAGCCGCGAGCTGCCCGAGCCCCGCGGGTCGGGTCGGGACGGGCTACAGAGGCCATGAGACAAGTCATAAGGCTACCGACGAGACACCAGAGTTTCACCCTCCATCTTTCGGTAAAGACACTTCCAATAGAAAAGCCAAGCAAAAAAACAAAAACAAAAAAAACACACACACAAAAACATAAATAAAAATACTCCCTCCGATGATTGTAATTATTTGAGTGGCTCCGTTCGTCTTTGTTGTCGCTCCGTATCCGTTTGCCTATTTAAGTCGCCGTGTCCCTCCGTATCTGTTTGCCTATTTAAGTCCCTCGCCCTCCCTGCCGCCGAGCGCCTCTCTCCCGTTTCACATCCCGCCTGTAATTGGTGGGGCGTCCAGGCCGGGAAGTATTAATCGCTGCTTGCCTTTGGAGCGCGTGCGTTATTCATAACGGGGTGGGGAGCGGGGAGCGGGGCGGTGTGGTGTGGTTAGGCGGCGCCGGGCCGAGCGGAGGCTGGACGTCTCCCGGACAGTGCCGAACAGTGGCAGCCGTGCGATCGACGACATCGGCCACTTGCAGCTTCATTCAACCCGACCGTAGACAAGCACACATACCAAAATTTACTTTAAAAAAATAAAGAGCGAATAAAACTAAAACTACAACATGTGTTGAGAAACGACCCGAATTTTTCAAAGAGCGGGAATAGCCAGCTCCACTCTTAAAAAATATGTTTGGTGTCAGGCTTTTACCCCTTCCCCCCCCCCCCCTTTTTCCCGCTCTCGCTCTGCGAGTTCTCGATTGAATACTCCAGCTCAAATCAGAGGTCCTTTACCGACGCGCGAATGACGCCTTCGCGCTGCTTGAAGGATCCAAGTGTTTGTATGGGAACATCTCGCGGTCCCGTCCCAGCGGTGGTGGGAACTGCCGTGTCCGGGGATCGAACCAAGAGTCGAGTGGCACCGCCGCGCCGCGCCGCCGTCCGCGGCCCGGGGTCGCCCGCTGTGCGCCGTGCGCCGCCACCGCGTCGACAACAAACTCCTCAGGCGGTGAGGCGAGAGGTGAGTGTTGGCAATCAGAGGAAAGGCAGCGTCTTAGGAGGGCGCGGATGGAGATATCCGCGCGTATTGTGGGGGACGCAGTTATGAAATTGTGCAGGGTGGGTGATCTGCGCCGTCCTCCCGCGGCCGGGCTGCTAATAGCTCGTACGGGGCTAAACGGCGATGGTAGGTAAAGCCCGCTCGCCGGCCTGAATCCGGCACAGTGTAACCAGAAAAAGGGGACGGCGCAGATCACCAACCCCGTATACACGCTAAATGTATATGTATGTTATTGTGCCAATGTTCGCACTAACCTGCGTTTCGTTTCGCACGAATCAAGTTGTGCCCAAAAATGCATGATTTCGTACAAAGGAATGCACAAAAGAAAGTTCAAATTGACGCTAAAATGCCTGCCGATAAGAGATACAAATCCAGTTAGTGTGTTGTTACCTAATGTTACGAATAAAACTGACAGCGAGGTTAAGTTTGTTGGATTTTTTAGGTTATGTCCCTCTGCTGCCCCAAACGAATATAACACAACTTTACCTACCTAAAATCGCAGTTCGCCTGTTTGTAGTGGCCGTTTTTGACCTCCTTTCGTCAGCAGGGTGAGGCTCGAGGCGAGGGTTGTCAATCGAGGCAGATGCAATGCAGTTCCCAGGCCGGAGCCGGAGGGTAGCGCTGGGCAGAGTGCTGGGGGCGCTGCTGCCTGACGCGTCGACGAGTGGCGGGGAAAAAATGTGTACTAAAACATCCGTGGAGCGTGTTACAATTCAAGTACCGGCGCGGCGGAGGCATTCCAAGTGATCTGTTTTTGCCGGGGACCGGTGTGCGACAGCCTCCCAGCAGCGCGTCGAGCACCGCGCCGAGCGAGCTGCACCGCGGGGCGCCGTTGAGAACGGGAGGAACATCTGCCCCCCCCCCCTCCCTCCCCACTTCTTTCTCCGTGTGTCCACCTCGTCGTCTGCCCGTTCGAAATTTCTCTTCAAAGTTCAACGAAATAGGATGAGAAGAGTGTGCGCACGATTTTTCTTCTCTAAGGCAAAGAATGACCGCCAATACAGGGTGGCCCATAGGCCGATCTCTTCTTTCTCTTGGTTGTAAGTACTGCACCGGATACATGCGTGCAGGCGGGTTGCGCAATCGCACGGGGTCGTAAGGCGCCTCGGTGAGCGACTACAGTGTAGCCCGGCCGCAGCACAGTATCACCAGAAGAAAGAACGGTGCCGGTGTGCCACCGTGAAATGGAACAACCAGTCCGAATTAGGCATTCCCTCTCGCAGTTTGTGTGTGCCCGTTTCCCCTTAACAAAACCATCAATTCCGCATTGCTGCGTAATGGTGACAATTTCCGCAGTGTAGATTAGGTTTCATTCAGTTGACGGACGACCGACCCTCCAAGTGGCTGGCTGCCACACTCGCCGATTTACTGCTCGTTCGGAAAACGCCGGCGGGCGTCCTGCTCCATGATGCCGTGCTATACTTTACATATCGGCGCTCCCTGTGACCCGGGGCGCCTTACGAGTGCGTCAGAAAACAGCTTGCGCTCCGCGACGCCGCATTGTTCCGAGGCAAAAAATAATGGCGACGATCAATTGATGTTTTTCAAAATTTCGGGGAACACCGTCGAGCACGCATTATCGTAAAAAATGATTATTTGCCAACCGATATCAATAACTTTTTCTTTATTTTCAAAGAATGAAAGTTTTAACTCTTAACACAAATCTTTTCATAATAAAACATGTACACTATATATATAACAACCAAAATTATACACGTTTAAGTAATATAAAAGTCTTTTTTACAAAAGGAGATCATAGTTGTTGACTGGGCGATTCCTTTTTAAAGTAAAGTTTACAAGAAGAAAGCACACCTTCCGCTTTGGGCTCCCGGTATTCGGAACTCGGTAAGTTGAATCGCTTAACACAGATGCTGCTTTTTGTACTATAACAAATGACTGGTAATAGGCACAATTAAAGAAAACATTAAATTTGATATAATAGGAACTTTGCTTTGTACATTTCTATATACAGTAATATCATGTCTGTGCAAAATAAAACTATCTTATAAACACAATGGGTTGTTGGGGCACAACTGAAGTTGCCTGCCCGTGACCCAAAATATATGCACTAGATTGTTACACTCAAAAGTCAACAAGGAATATGCAAAGAAACAAGAGTCTTAGTTAAGACGAAGATTTCTTTAAATTGAGATAATTTTCTTAAATTACTTTATAATTTTTACACGTACTATATCAACGAAAACGGAAAGATATGAAAGGGCAGTAACAACAAACGAAGAGTATTTCAGTGAACAGAGTACACAACGAATACTGGAAATCAAGAACATTCTCGATATTAAACCTAGGTATTTAGATAAAAACGACTTTAATAAAGACTAATGGAGTGACACTCGGAAAAATGTTTCTTATTATATACTGAATATCGCAGTCGGGCTTTTTGTAAGCTTCACGTAGGCCACTCTCACAATATTGCACTTTGTTTGATCTCTATGCCCTGGCTTCCCAGTACGCAGCAATGCGCGGGAATCAGGGGAAAACCATGGACGCTCTTTCTGCACCGAGAAAACAATCGTGTAGGGATCGTTACGCAATCGACCACGCTGCCTTGCCTCTCAACACAGACGCCATCACCACACCATCCGTCTACAGCGCGAATGTCCTGGACGGCATAGGTGGCAGCGTCGTCTGCTCGTCCTTAACGTCGACGTGAAGGTGCTGGTGGTGAGGGTGCTGGGGCGCGTGCGGGTGACCGTACACGTAGTCCTCCATGTTGTTATTGTTGTTGTACTCGTGGACGTACTTCGGCCCGTCGGCGTAGTAGTGCTGCCAGTCGTGCTGCTGCTCGGGGAGCGTGTCCCCCGTCACGTGGAGGCCCCACGTCCGCAGGCGGCCGACGTCCTCCAGCATGCCGCCGACCTCCGGCTTGACGCTGCACATCCACTCGGCCGCGCCGCTGCTCGAGCCCTTGTCCGGGGCCGGCGCCGGCTCGAAGTACGGCGTGTCGCCGGGCGCGGGAGAGCAGTGGCTGTTGCCGTACAGGTCCATGACGACGCCCTGCTGCAGCGGCGGCTGCTGGAAGGCCAGCCCCCCGCTGTGGCTGCTGTCGTCCGAGCACGTCGTCTGCTCGTCCGAGTGGAAGCTCGTGTTGCTGGCGCCCAGCTCGAGCAGCGTGGGCGGCGAGCGGCCGCGCTCGTACGCGCACGAGCGCACGGGCGCGGGGCTGGTCTGCTGCTGCTGCTGCAGCGGCCGCAGCGGCGCGTCCAGCTGGAAGATCTCCTCGGGCTGGAACAGGTCGCCGTCGATGTGCGGGAAGTCGTACCGCAGCATGTCCTCCTCGGGCACGATGAACTCGTCCTGCGGCGGCGGCGGCGGGTACGGCATCGCGTCCGGGTGCAGCAGCGGGCCGTGGGGGCCGTGCGGAGGGTGGGGGCCGTGGGGAACATGGGGGGCGTGTGGCGGGGGCGGCGCGTCGTCCACCACCCAGAAGTTGGGGTGGCACGGCGTGGGGTTGTAGGCGGACTGCGGCATGGCCGGCGGGTACGGCTGCACAGCCTGAAGGCCCAGTTTGTTGGGCTTGCACAGGCACTCGAAAGGAGGGCAGGAGCACGAAGAACCTGTGGAGAAGAGAGAGAGGGGAATGTCAGCAACAAGTTGTCATCGGATCGTCTCGGCTTGCGAAGTACTTGCCATAAGACGTCTGCTTACCTGCCGGGTCGGCGATGAGCGGCGGTGGGAGCGTCCTCGGCCTCACCACCTGGGGGTTGATCTGGCTGACGGCGGCCAGGGCCGCGCCAGCCGAGGCGCGCAGCCCGCGGGCGCCTCTCCGCAGCACGCGGCCGCCCCGGAGCCCGCGCCGCGTCTCCACGGACGTCTTGACCTCGGGCCGCGGGTGGTCGTGGTTGCCCTTGGCCTGGAAGTAGATGGCGTGCTCCGTGTGCCTCCAGAAGTGGGTGACGGGGTAGCCGCAGTGGCCGCGGCAGGGCAGCACCTCGAGCCGGCCGGCGCACGCGCGGTTGGGGCACGCCTTGCCCTGCTGCTTCTTGCGCGCCTTGTCGCAGATGGCGGGGCGCATGTGCACGCGGCCGCCGCCCGGCAGCGAGCAGCGCGCCGAGCACACGAGCACGCCCAGGCACGACTTCTTGAGGATGTGCACGTTGTGGTTGTTGGTGTTGCGCATGGCCCAGCCCGACGCGTGCCTCTTGGCCTCCTCGCTCGTGGCCGGCAGCACCAGGCGGCAGTGGCCGTCCGCCCACTCGAGCCACTCGTCGTAGGCCGACACCTTGGGGATGGTGGTGTCGTTGATGTCCCAGTCGGCCTGCGGGTTGTGCTGCGCCGGCTGGCGGGCGGTGAGCGGCTGCGGCGCGGCGGCGCGGGGGCTGTACCCGGACACCGGGAAGCGCACCCCCTCGCCAGCGGTCGCGCAAGCTCCTGGCTCCGTCCTGCAACAAGCGGAGGCACTGGATGAGCACACAGGTGTGAGGAGCCGAAAGCGATAAGGAGAGGCATCGGGGACCATCGGGGACCGCAACGCGCGGGCCGGCCTCAAGCGGCTGTGAGAGCGGGGCGGGGGGCGGGCCGCGGGCAGAGCCGGGCCGGGCGGGGGAAGGAATCCGATATCCCGATCTCCTTCGTCTCGCGTCTGCGGAGAGGGACCATCGGGCGCAACACTTTGCGACGAGTCGCCGCGCATATATGGGAAATTGTCGCGTCTCGTCCCGATTCCAGGGGAAAAGAACGGGGCCAGTGGGACAGCCAAAAGGCAGACAGGTAGAATAGGCACGTGCGAACATGTAATCGGATAGGGTGGAGCGTCGCGGCGTGCCGATGCGATTGTTTTATGTTTATTGAATCACTACAGAACACGCGGCTCAATCATATTTATACGGCTAATCTTTCTGGTCCGTCGTCCGCCTTTGCACTTCCGAATGGACCCCCCCCCCCCTCTCTCTCTCTCTCCCGTGTGTCCCCATCCCATAATCCCCGGACAGGTTGCCAGCGGTCACACCAATGCCTGGATCTTCATCGCTTCATTGTGGGTGCGGTGGCCCCCGTGCCGCCCATCTCGTCCACCCGTCCGCTAGGCCCGTTTCTTTCTTTCTTTCGAGTGAGACACGGTCGAGACGGACGGTCAAAGTTCCAGACCGTTGCTTGCAAGTTTCTTCGGCGATACCGGCCATGCTCCACATGCCAATCGAATAATGTATTATGCGCGGAGGAGTTAATATACCATCCAAATTTTCCTGTCCTGTTTTATCTGAAATTTCCTACTTAAATTTTCTTGAAACGTCCAGCCCCTGGTGTCGACGTCTCCACGTCTCACTCGCCGGGAATTTATTCGTTTCCACCCAAAAGTGAAAAGCCTGTGTTTTCTAATTCGCCCGGCCGGGACCTCACGCCTCGCCTCGCGCGCGCGCGTCACCAGACCAGGACCACACAAAGCAATGGCTTTATCGTCGCCTGCTGGGGCCTGCCCGGGCGTGGCGTGGCGGCGGCCCGACCGGTACCGCACCGGATCAGGGCCATAAACGAGACGCGAATACTACCCGAAAAACTCAATTCGGAATGTGACTCAAGGAAAGGTTGGGGGAGGGGAGGGGGCTTACGGACAAAACGGAGAAGTTCCAAAAAGATTTGTTGAGAAATCACATCAGGCATCCCCTGCGATTATCAGGCTCAGCAGGCTCAGCTGCCAGCTGACCCAGCGCGCCTGTCAGGATAGGCCACCCCGCCAAACACAGCTGTCTGACGGGCCTGCCTATCTCCCAGGCGACCCCTGTCGCCGCAGCTCGAGCGAGCAAACAGACAGAGACATGCTGCCGAGTCTCTCCACACTCAGTGTCCTCTCTATATCTCTCTGTCTCTTTCTCTCTCCCCCCCCCCCTCTTCTTGTTGGTCTTTCCGGTCGCTCTCGCTCGCTCCCGTTGACACTATAAGAGTAATCGGTGTAGCGACACGCGTCCGACTCTGCGGGATATGGCTAATTCCCGTTGATGTGTCCGTGTCCCGCGGTGGTGGCGCGGCGCGGCGTGGCGTTTAGTTTTGACACGGGCCGTGAAGCCGCATTCCTCCGTGTCTCTTTTTGGCCGATGTCGCTCTGGCCGCCGCCGAGAGGACGCGTCCGAATCGTCCTATATGCCGCGAGTGACAGCGCAGCTGCTGCGGCTGCTGGGCTGGACCGCCCGGCCGTCATGCTGCGCTCGAGCGCGGCTCGTGCACGACTCGCCGCACGCACGCACGCGCCGCACGGAGCGGGCGGGCACTACTGCGTACTACGACCAAGAAAGTTGGAAGTAAAGTTACAGAGGATCTGGAAGCAGCGAGCTCACTATACTACTCCCTCTCACACAAACTGTTGTCTGTTGCGACACAGCATTAGGAGGATAGGAGAAAGAGAGAGAGAGAGTGAGAGAGAGAGAGAGGAGAGAGAGAGAGAGAGAGAGAGAGAGAGAGAGAGAGAGAGAGACAGAGAGAGAGAGGGGGGGGTCAACTGTTAGACGCGTTTGACGGCCCGGCCGCGGACCACAGGGGGGGCCAGGCCACCACACGGCGCCGCCAGAATTTGAATAATCTCTGACACGCGCGGCGGCGCCCAAAACACTATAAAACGCTGCATTTGGGGAGCGCGGGGGAGGAGGGGGGACTGGATAGGTCTTGGAGAGAAATAATAAGACACACACTGGCAGAAAGCGGAGGCATTCTGCATCTGCCTGCGCGTCCTTTCGAAGTGTGTGTATTATACCCGTTCCGTTTTGGCCCACAGCGGCGCGTGGAATTCCCTGAAACATCCCGGCTGTCGCGGCTAATGACACGCGCTGTCCTGGTCCAGCAGCCCGCGGCAGCACCGGGCTGCTGGAGGAGAGCAGGCTGGAGAGCAAGCTGGAGAGCGCTGGGAGAGCTCGACCCTGCGGGGCCGTAAGGTGCGGGCCCGGGCCGGCAGGACAGAGTAATACGGTAGGGTAATGACTTGGCGCCTCCTGGAGTTCGTCATGGAGCCTGCAGTGGCGCCGGGCTGCTGGACAGCAGGCTGGAGAGCGCAGGAGAGCGCGCTGGAGAGGGAGCGCGACCGGGCGGGGCCGTAAGGTGCGGACCCGGCCGGACAGGACGGAGTAATACGGTAGGGTAATGACTGCCACACTGAGCGCCTCCTCGAGTCCGTCCTGGAGCCGGGCCGTGTTCTACGTATGTGTATACGGGCCGTCCAAGCTGTTCGCCTCGTCGAAAACAAAAAGCGCAAGAAAAAGGTTGTGCGTTTGTTATTAAAGGTGCGAGTCTCGTTATTTTTTCCGCGCGCGAGTGAAAGGACCCGCGACACCCTTGCGCTTCCTTGACGGACGAGTGACAGCGTCCCCCCAGCGTGGGGTCCCCCCTCCTCCCCCCTCTCTCCCCTGCAGGTGGCCGCCTTGACGACGGGGAGAGATAGCACACATACACACACACGCACGCACAACGCGCATGCTCGCACTTCGTACACTGAGCGCGTGGTTCTGCGAGAAAATGAGCGACGCGTTCAAAATGTTGCAGACGCCACCCTCATTCGGTGCACATCTAGCCAACCAGGGCGACAGTTGCGCTGGAATTCCCTCCCCCTCCCTCCCGCCCTTCATATACCTGACACTCGTCCGCTGGATATCAAATCCCTCCCAATAACTTTACCAGGGATATGGCTTGATGAAGCGGTTTTTCGGTTTCTCCAGAAACACTCTTTTTCCTCTCCTTTGAGCATGTTCCCTCTCCTGTCCCGAGTAGAATTGCGGAACCCACAAGGTGAGGCAGGCTCTTGAAGTACTGACGTCAAGGAGCTCCGTGAAGGCGGGAGAAGACATTGTGTGAGCACACGGGCCACGCCGAAAAGGTATCACCGACAAAAGGTCAGCAGGCGTCATAATTTATAGATCAACTTCGAACTTCGGGGCATATATTGGAGTTGATTTTGTCGCGAACAGAGTATGCTCGCTCGCGCTACCGCTCGGTCTCCAACGGGCTCGGCTCCGTTCGGCTCGGCTGGTGGACTCGGCTCGGCTCGAGTACCAGATCCTATCTCGCATCGCCTTTGACAGACACACCCGGAGCGCAGGGGGCCGTATCTCTAGCGGGCCCTAATGGCGACAGCAGTCCGCGCAAACGCTCATAATTTTACAAATTTAGCCTTTCGTTTCCTGAAACTTGATCCCGCCGGCTGTAAAAAGGCGTCCAGGCTTGGGCTGCTCGGACGCCGAGGCCGAGGAGGACCTAACGAACACCTCTCAGCTAGGGAGTCGTGGGGTAAGGCAAGAGCGTAGCTCGAGAGACAGTGTGTGTGACTGACACGCCAGCGCACTTGTGGACGCGTGTCTGTCTTATCTCATGTACCACACATGCACTATATAATTATCCCCCCCCCCA